CACTCATGGGTCCACACTTTAGCATACACTGTGTTGCAGAATGCATCCATGAGCATTCATCTAAAAGGGGAACAGCAGCAGCTGTAAGGGTAAATGGGACGGAAAGTGGAGGTCAGAGGTACAGTACATCGAGACATGAACCACACGCTGGAAATGCCCAAGATGCTGGGTTGAGAAAACAGTTTTTCTGTAAAAGTTTCACAAGAAAACTAGGTCTTTTTATAGTCTCAATTAAAAGCCTTAAGATGATACTACAGCATCTCTAACCTTTGTTTAATCAATACAATCTGCACCAACTCTTGTGGGTTCTTCCGTCACCCACATCTCTCCACCAAGTTTCGTGGAAATACTCGTATTAGTTTTCACGTAATCCAGCCAACACCAAACAAATGCCAATGAAAACATAACGTCATTGGTGGAGGTAATGAGAGTCAAAACTTCATTTCATGCAAAACTGACCACATAATTCTACATGTCACTCTAAAAAAATCTAATTGATGCCAAAGTCTGCCAACTTAGTAAATGGCAAATACGTTTAGTATTAATGGAGCGTACTGCCCTCTTGTTGCAAGTCAGTCTATGATTATGTCAAGTTTAAAGAATTAGCATTGACTTGTGATTCATGCCACTCTTAAATATCGAATACATTTTTAGTTCCTTCCTTTAAATGTAATATATATATATATCTACCTGAACCAGCTGTAATATTGTTCAGCTGCTAACTCATCATAACGTCTGCTGCAGTACTCGAATAAAGTGAAAAACCTCAGAAGGAACATCAGTCACTGGAGTGAATCATCTTGGGATACATGGTTGGTTTTGGCGCCTTTGTTCTCTGGGATTGTGCGAAGGGTTCAACCTGAGGCCAGACAGCAATACATGCCTCGTTATGATAGACATTAGGGAAAAGAGAGGGCTGCCTCAGCACAGAGAAACGCTTTGAATTGAAAGTTCCACAGTCATAGTAACAACAAGGTGGTTATCCATTTATGCAGTTAAAGCCTGTGGAGCCATGTGTCATTAAATAATGCAGGAAGCAGTGTTTCCTCCTCACGTCCCGCAGAATACATGAGACATGAAAGTGCCAACAGAGAAACACGTGCTGGATGTCAAACTGCTTTAACATTTACAGAACATGTGACACACTCCTGTGGGCGAAGACTCAATAAGAGTGTCCCGGTTTGCATCACTGATCAGATGGCGTGTTGTCTCTGAAATTCAGCGCGCTGGGCTGTTCTGAGATTCACAGACGTCATTTGGGAGATGATGCTTTTTCTGCAAGCCGCTTTCGTCATCGAAGCGGAGACGAAGGGGAAGGAAGTTCGCATCTGAATGTGACCAGGAACAAAATGTTTTTTTGCCACATCTGCATAATTGATCTATTATATTTTCTCGTCAAAAGGGCACGACGCATGAAGTGCGCCACTCCAGTCGTTCTGTATTAGCCGTGTGAAAGATGACTGGAATTACAGGTAGTCACAACAAAACAGATTATTAGTGTTCACAGGGAAACAAATGATTTTCATTCTACAAGGCTGCTTCTTTAGCTTTATAAAAGAGGAAGAAACAATACACAACCTCAGGTATATTTCAGCTTCCTCACATAATCAATGTCAGGATGAAAGATGGATCATCTATAAATAAGAGGCAGGGATTGATTCATGGACAGGTGGATATATGTGCTGCCATATAACGCAGACAGATAGGGGAGGGAGGGAGGAACGTGTGATGTGATTTCATGGACTGAATGAAACAGCCAACAGTGTGCTCGCCCCTGCCAGCCCCGTCCTGCAGTGATCACCGACCAAATCCCTTAGGAGGATTATCCCGACGCAAATCAAGAAAATCATGCAACTTTAAGGGTTACAGGCAGAGAGTGAGAAGGAGAGAGGGATGGAGTGAGGGGCGGTCGCCCTGTGGCCGCATGTTGTTGTGCCTTCTCCTCTGATTTTGAAGTGCCATATGTGCTCTGTGTCAACCCAGTAACTGTGTTTATCAATACAAACGGCTGAGAAATATTACAAATGGCTCATCTAATGTGCTGTAAAAGGACATGTTTGAATAATTTTTGGAGAGTTAGATGACATTATTATTTTCTTAAAGACTAAATGAAGGATAACAATGAATGAATGAGCTCTGGGCAGAGTAGTGATTAGCATGTCATTACATTAAGCACTCTGAGTGGATCAAAGTTTGTATCGACTCAAAAAAGCGAGGAAATGTTTGATTTCTCATTCACAATAACCACAAATTTTCCCAAACTTTATTATTATTATACCGAAACAAACAAAAACTAAAAATTACTATTTTACAAATTCCAAGGTTTTGAAGAGTCATTCCAATATTCTTATGGAGGTTTGTCAATTATGGTATAATATAGTATAATTTAGTATACAATACCAACCAACAGATTTTCTAGTCTACATGTACATATCTATAGTAACCCTCCTCTCCTTGTGCTTTTATTCTGAAAGGTCGATCTTCAGGCCCATATGAGTTAAACTACCTTCAAGAATTCAATATCAGTAAAGCTAAAGCAGCTATAATCAATTATTACTTTTTCATGGCTCTGTCCAAAGTGCGACGTGATTATGAAATAGCTGCTGATCGGGTCAAGTCACGAGGCCTCCGACTTACTCAAAACTGGAAATCAAAGAGGTCACGACTTGTCAGATGGTTCTCTGCACAATGGAACTTTGCCCTCTAAAGTAGCAGCATGCATTGGCGTACAGCAGAAGGCAATTTGGCACGTATTACTGTAATCTGATATTCAGAACACAAACAAGCCCTGCTGGCGAGTTCCACTGCCAAAAGCCGACACAATCTAAAGCCAAGATCTTTTTTCCACACCACAAACACTGATCGAGGTAGTGTCTTTGTCTTTAGGACGCATGGATTGAAAGAGATAAGAAATCAAGTTAATGCTCTCGAAATAAGGCCAGATGTGTGACGATCAAACTGTCATTAAGAATAAAAACAAATATCGCGGAAACCCCTCTCACCTGCTGCAACTCTCTCGCCATCTCGCACTGAACAATTGATTACGAGCATCAAAAGGTGAAGAATGATCCACAACTGCTCATTAAAGTTTATGAAGCTAATTTGGCCTGTACGCAATCGACAAACACAGGGTTCTCAAATTGTTTTATGACGGCTCGTGGATACACAACCGGCATCTGGGTACAAGCAAAGTGCAGCTACGAAACTTGCCAGTTACATTGTTGCCATTTACTGTTTGTTGACAATGAATGGATCCAAATATGTAAAGAAAAGTCTGGGAAATAGAACTCTCTGGCAAAAAGCTTTTACTATGAACCTCTGTCCATGATTAACAGGAACCCGCTCCTTGCTTTAAAAGCACTGACAAGCTCAGTTAGTTAATTAGATAATGAAAGAAAAAGAAAAGCTTTCTAAACACAGAGAGACAGGGCTGCTGATGGAGTGACACGTGTGCATTAATTCTGATCCTGAGTTTCTAACTTAAGGAACAACCAGTAGATCATTGTCACAGTAACAATAATGAACACATGGTTCAGGTTGTAGAAGAGTCACAATGTGGTTATGTTTATGGGTTGAGGAAAGAATCAGGTGCTCTCTTCAGGGTCGGAACTTTCTCCTCACAAACACTCTGTTGCTCTATGTTCAAGAATCAACCAATTATCACCCTTAAAACTCACCAAATAACATGTTACATTTCAGAAAAAAATCAAAATGGGGTAACGCAAAAGTTTCAGCTTCCTTCCTGAGTAGAAGATACACTCCAGATGCTAACCTCGGGCGTATGTGTCTATGTGCATAGGTTTAAAAGATTTGTCATGAGCCACGTTTAGCGGGCTTAGTGATGTGACCACACATGAGTCAAGGGTCATGCAAACATATTTATGTACATGTGTATCGAGTAGCGCGCATGTGTGTGTCAGTGGTATATAGATGAGCAGGGATTGATGTGTGCTGAGCTCTTCATTATAACAGCAGCTCTGACTGACAGTCTGTGACTTAAGACCTCTTAGTGTATCTTTACATCTCGGGTTCACTTTAAACTGTTTGTTGTGTAAAACTGCCACTCTGGAAACTGTAATACAAATCGAAACAGGGTGTAACTACATATTTGACAAACTGCAAAGACGTATTTACGTTGAGGAAAAACCTTTAGACAGGCTAATTGCTTTTTTTACTTTATTAATGCAATTACTTTTTCTAAACATTGGAAATCGAATGTATTCGGCTGCAGGGGTTTTCATTGTCCAATTTGGCCTAAAATCTTCTGTCCATGATCTGCTGTGTAGTCGCACTAAGTGGGGGTGATTGTTGTGGTAAGGTTTCTACTCAGGAACAGATTTTAAACACAAACTGTCTTTTCAAGTACTTAGTAGTCTTCCTGCAACTCCTCCCTGCATCCATTCTCTCCGATAGCTCACTCTGTGTTCCCATCCTTCTCAGTAACCATTGTCCATCCTCTCGGTTTTTTATCTCCGTCTTAATCCCTCCCTCCATCATCTGGGCTGCTCAGTGGACTCTCTGATTGTCTTCCTCCTTTCATTTCCCCACAGAGCGTGTGCAGTTGCTGTCTTGCATCCGTATCTTTCATCGATCACACACAGCAGCGATTTTTTTAGTAACTCAAACGCAACAGATATTGCAAGGAACACACAACCATGCTTGCACACACCAATAGAGCAAATCAATAAGATCTCTCTGTACCCAGCTGTCAGTTAATGCCTCTGATATTGAGGCAAGTCACGTGTTTGCGGCCTTGTCAACAAAAGCATGAAACTTTCTGGGTGTGACAAACAACTGAGGTCAATGCAGGTTTCATTCAGTTTCTATTCCAATCACAAACTTGAGCCGGACATGCCTTTTAAACACTGCAAAAACAACTCAACATTGCCATGAAATGGAAAAATAAACTATCTTGTATACAAACATACATTTACCTGTTGAAGATGTAATGTGACTGAGAAATAATGACTTTAATAGAGGCAAACGTCAAAACAACTCACCCAGACAGCTTTGGCATCTTGGAAAAACCAAACATGTCCATGTGGTCCGACTACAGAGTGCTACGTCCCCAAAGCTCAGGTCCTCCCCATCAGCATACTAATCCACATCCGAATCCCTTTGCACTGAGAACCCACACATCCAGTTTCACCCAGGATCCATATCAGGAACCCAACAACCTAACAAAATGAACTTAAACGGCAGCGAGAATCAACATTGTTGAACGCCCCCATCCAGTTCACATACAGCCCAATTCAAAGTCTTTCCACAATTTTGCGTTCCTAAGTGATGACACACAGGAAGAGAGTGGGGGTCACCCTCTGCCCCACCTCTCTGCAGTCTCTGGGACCAGTCAGCCCTTTTCTGCTGCTCTCCACCTGGCTCAGTGAGGCTGCAATAAGACCTCTGTGTGTGCGCTCTTCATCTCCGCGCAGGGAGAAGTGCGGAGATCCTAACCGCGCTGAGGAGGGGAGAAGAGACGAGGGAGGGGAGGAAGAGAGAATGGAAGAGGGATGGGATAGGGAGGGGGGAGGGAGGGGGCAGCGCGAGCGGATGACGGATGCTTTCTGGCTCCAGCTTTGCCCTCTGTTCATCAGGGCTGCAAGACTCTTTGCGGGGCAGAGGAGAGGACGGAGGGACGATGCAGAGCAGGGATGGTTGCAAGAGGGGAGAAATCAAAATGAAAGATGGAGGAGGGAAATAAAGGGGGAGTTAAAGTGCTCGGGCTGTAAAGAGGAGGCAACTGAGGGGGACAGAGAAGGGGGGCGGGGTGGGGCGCGATGGGCAGAGGAAAGCTGACTCTGCAGAACTGGAAGCTGATGGGAGCAAGACCCCGTCTCAGAGGGGATTTTTTTCCTGTCTCCTCCACTTGTTTGGTTTCTCGAAATGAGCTTGGACGTGTGCACACTTAACAAACGGCAGCATGAGCATGATTCAAGCATGCATTAGTCTACAGATGGCTTCCTTTTTACTCGTCCAGAAGGAACATTTGCATTGACTTGCATCATTTTCTTTGAAAAGGCTGAAGACGTGACCGCCTCGACTCTCGTGAATGGAAGAATTAAAAGTGCTGACAAATACTTGTTTGTATTTTCAACTCGTGGGGAAACGAATATTCATCCCAGTTTAGAGCGTGTTGTCAAACTCCAACAACTAGTCAGAGTCTTGTGTGTGTGTGTTTGTGTGTGTGCACAGATGGCTCAGCCTTAGCAAGATGGTGCTTCTTCTGGCCCTGCGCCACAAAGGCCCAAGGACAAAATGAATCTCAGTGGCGATGATAAACTTTAACTCGATGCAAAATGGCAGAAAGAACATTTAGCATCGCATGTAATCAAACTCAACGCAAGTGGGCGTGAAAAACGATGACAAAAACCACAAGAATTGATTCTTGCATTTTCTTAAATTTGTGATTTACAGCAGAGGGGGAGAGATTATGTCAAATGGCACGTGAAATGGAAACCTTTCTTAAGGGAGCAACGCAAGACTATATACTTGATCGTATTAAAAGTCTGAGGCTTCGATGAGGAAAGTTTTTAAGAATATTACTCAGACTGTACTCAGTCTTAAATACTTATACAGGAACATGTTGGTGGAATGTTCTAACAGCATCAAGTGTTAAGCTGTGACACCTCTGTCATCAAAGTGTTTCCTCACCTTTCGCAGAGGTGACCAGTTAACCGAACTGATATCTATCTGACGGTGAGCAGCTTGAATTTACTTGGACTGTTGACTGTTTAATGGGGCATTGGCAGAGGTATGTTTTCTCATCCTAGTATTTACCACTGTTTAAGTTTAGAATGTTTCCATGCACACATTTAATTTTGAATGTCGCCTGAGAGCAAAGCAGCAAAGGCCAAAATAACAATTTTTCAGCCTTGATGCAAAGACTCTTTGATGACCCTCGTCCTCGCTTAGGTTACACACACACGGGACAGAACGTGCACCCACACACATCAAATTAATTTTTGTTGGTGGATGGAATAAAGAGCCTGTGTTGCCGTCTCATAATTTGATACTGGTCTGATCACAAACCCATCTCAGGTCGAGAAAGAGACAAATGAATGGAGCCCTTTTATCTGTTAGTACATTCAATTTCCTGTCACAATTTATTAGAGATGCTATTTTGGGATATCTAGTGTTGTGCATCACTAGGGGGGAGAGCTTTTTGGACGGTTCTCCGGAATCAATCCCGATGGCAGCAATAAGACGACGTGGTGAATAAATGTGCCTTGTCAGACTTGCAATCTTCAGATGTGATTGGTGGACATCTTTTAGTAAGTGCAGTGGAGGAAACAAACCAATATAACTAGAAGTAATGTGCTTGAACTGCAAATGTAGTTTTCCATCAACATATTTGATGTGACACACTCTGACAGAGGAGCACAATATTTTCCCTCGGGGGCGGCAAAATAAAATGCTGCATGCAACATCTTCAATAACAGACCGGCTGTCTGCTGTGTTGTCTTGTGCAACGTATACTGTATGTTCATGACAGTGCAAAATGACAATGCATTGCCATCACGCATTGTTCCTGCACAGAAAAACAACAAGCTTATGATTATCTTATTTTAAAAGTACAGACACTTTCCGTACACTTCTAAGTAAAAAAGCAGAAGGAAAATAAATCCCCTGAACACGGCAATTACTTGTAAATGAAAGGCCGTTCGAGAGCCTTGATGGCACTGGCCTGGAAGGCGGTGAGAGATGAGTGGTAACTTTAGGCTTAAGAGATTGGATGAAGTGATGTGGGGAAGTAGTTGCCTAATTTAAAATTGACATGATAATAAAGGGGAGCAGGGAACTATGAGAGTGGAGCGGCGCCAAGGACTGAGAGGGAGGGATGATGAAAAAGTGGGGGAGAGGGAAAGGACTTCTGCCAAGGTCCACAAATTCCCTTTTTATTATTATTACTCATTTCATAAAAGGATGCAAGTCGGGACATGTGCTGATTACCCACGACGCTTTGCGCTAACATCTTATCTGTTCTTGTATGATGTATGATATTGTCTGTGAAGCTTTAACTCCAGGCCAGTTTATTTCTTACATCTGACCTTTTGGAGCCAGTAAGAAGGATTCTGATTTTATTATGTGTGTCATCCCCCATTAAAAGTAGAAAAGGGAGTGATTCAGTTCACCAGTACTCACACTCTGAGGCAGAAGTGCATAATAAATATGCGAGAAAAAGGAAAAAGATGGTTTATTAAACAAGCCTGCATTCTTAACTTTCTGAGTGGGGTGTGCATGAAGGACACACAGGACATTTTACTTCTAAGCCTGTGATTTACGACCGCACTTCACTGATTCCACCTCCAGTGACTTTACCACTCACGTTAAAGCTGAGTGGGCCATCTCAAAGGGGCTCAAACCAGCAATATGAAACATAAACCCTTAATAATACAGAAACACGCAAGCAAAAGAAACTTCTAAAAGTGTTTTCCTTCTAAAAATCCATTCAGGCTTTTACAACTTCTTCTTAGCTCTTAGGAAATCTCACGACAAGACACTTTTACTGATTGTGAAAAGTCATGAATCTCATCGTTTTAGACTTGACAGTCAAAAACAACTTGCAACTCGACGTAAAATTATTTCATCTCAGCCGAAAAGCCCAAAGATGAAATCATCATCATGGTGATTTTCCCGTCAACAGATGAATCAGTCTGACAGCAGCTCATCACATTCACAGGCAGAAGGTAAAATGTGCATTTGGCAGCCCTAACCAGGAGACGACAGATGATGCCTCAGATTGACACGTTGCCGTGACGGCCGTGGTCAACAAAGAAATGGAATGCAACACACAACATACTTTTTTAACTTCAGTTACTATTTTCTAATAATTGATGTCTTTGTTAGTTGAAGCATCGTGTTTTGAAATTTCTCTATTATCTGTTGGGTGGCGTTTTTGTGAATCAAACTTGGCATCAAAAGAAGCAGACAGATTTGTATTTCAATGCATCAAGAATACTGATGATCTCAGGATCTATTAATAAGTATTTATTCATCAGTGTATTATCACCAGAAACTAAGAATAACCATGTGTTTTTTGCATCGGAGTGAGTCCACCATGTTTCAACAGTAGCCCAAAACAAACAAAACACTGGCTCCAGGCCTCTGCAGGTTCTCCTTCAGTGCACGCTTGGAAGGGGAGGGATATTTGGTTGGTTGCAACTGCACTGCTGGATGTCTCTAAATCCTCCACACTGAAACTTTAATAACGTACGAACAAACCTCACAGACGTAAAAGAGATTGAAGATGAAGCCTGTTCATAGTTCATTGTGCCTCCTGCAAAAACCTTGATTTATTTAGGATGTATAGTCTATGATGACCTGATTGTAAACCCTAATGTGCAAAACCAATTATGCATATAATCAATCAAATAATCAAGTTTTCAAAATGGAGATAATTTAAGAGGTTACGTCCTCTGGCTAATCTGTTGAATATTAGGAATTAAAAAATGATAACAACCTTTATGGTCCATGAAAGCGTTGAGCACCTGATGGACAGGACTGCGGGACCTCTGTTCTATCTCTCCAGGCAGCTGTCTGATCTCTGCGCTCTTATGCTCATTTAAAACAGCGACGCGTATTAAAGTCAGGACAGGTAGGATCGCCACCGGCATCCCACTGCTGGTTTGTGTCCCGCAGAGATAAGAGGAGGGAAGGCAGTCGGCCGGCATCTGTCCACTAATGAATAACAATATAGCCCAAGGTCATCATTCATATGCAACTGTGTGAGCGACAACTGAGGAAGACAAAGCGTGTGTGTTGCATTATTTCACACAAACATTGGCATTCAGCACTTGTGAGCTGTGGCACACGTGGAGTTAACCATTAACGTGTGTGTCTCTCCTGCCTACTTTAAAAGAGCATGTCCAACAAAATAACCATCACAATAACAGCGTCCTGTAATGTGGTTTTCACCAGAGGAAGAACAATACATTTGCACAGTCAATCCTCTCTAGAAATTTGGAGAAAATGTAAAAAAAAAATGTAAAAAAACACACGTCAAATATAATGATAAAAAATTACTGGATCCAGAGGGAAAAAACTAAAATGCAAGTTTAGACAAAAGTTAATAGCTTAACAAATATTTGGTGAAGCAGGACATGCATACAGGAATCTAGAGGATGAACAGCAAAGTGTTCCTGGGTCATCCCTGTCTTTGCATGAGATAAAGCAGACGCCACCCATCATATGCATGCACACACACACACACACACACACAGAAACACAGACTTTATGTGAAACAATGAGATCATAGAATTACTTTCCCGCACCCCACCCTTTTAATCCAAACAGCAATCTCTCTTTCTCTCTTT